TTGGTTTTGAGGTTTTAGGCATGAGACGGTTGTAGGATGCATTTTAACGAAGTAAGACTTGAATCGAGTAATGATAAGTCGTTTACTTGATATTGGTGTTATGAGGAAATTTGAGATTTTTTTTTTTTTTTTTTTTTTTTTTTTTTTTTTTTTTTTTTAGTGCTGATCGATGATTGTGACGTTTGGTGTTGTGTTACTTTTAACTTGTTATGGTTGTGTGATCGAGGAATGATTATCGTATTGTTTTTTAGCATATTATTTTGTGACTACGTGATTATTGAGGATATATAGAGTGATGGATCGATTAGGGAATGGATCTTGTAGTGGTTTTGTGGATTGTGTAGGGTTGTGTTCGAGGTTTAGACCTGAGGACAGGAACGATGTTTATGTCGAGATCGGATTGAGGATAAGAATGGCCTGGCCAACCATTTCTCCTGAATTAATCCTTCTTTGACACGATGTCGGGTCAAAGGTCAATGATTGTTCTGCTTTGTTGGTGATAGTGAAAGTATGGTACCGTACGCTGTGTTGGTTTGACAATATGGACTTACATGATTTATTTTGAGTGACGAAAGGTGCTTGGTGGTATTGGGTGTTTGATAACAGGTTAGTGGTACAATCATTGATTTTTGAGAATCTCATTTTGAGGATTTGTGTTCAGAATACAGGGTAGTACATTTTATTATTTTGGTAACTCATGATTATGTGGTTGTTGGGAGATTCATCATTTACTTATCTTGAGGTTGATCCGTATGATAATTACCGGTTGGTGTGATTGGTAGTCGTCGTATGATCATGTAATTGTATAGCCGTATGTTAGAGGACGAGTGTTGGTTGGACAGAGATGTATTGATTTGAGTTTGAGTCTGATCCTTGTTGGGATTTGAGTCTGATCCTTGTTGGGATTTGGGTTATCCTTTAAAGGGGTGACTTGAGATAGGACGTTGTTATGTTTGGGGGTCTTACGACCATTCTTCTTTCGAGCCTTTTATAACAGTTTAGAGAGGACCAGTGTGATTCTAAGTCGAGTATAGAATTCAGCAAGTTTGGTGAGCAATGTTGTGAGTGAGGGGTATCCTCATAGGGTGGTGATCACCGGGTTTTCTGACGGCAGAGTGTGATTGCCTATTGACGTCGGTGTCAAAAGTAATAAAGATGTCAAGTCCCTTGTCTTAGGGTTTTGTGAAGTGTTTCTAGGGAAGGTATGTGTTTGTGCCCTCTTCTCTTTAAGGAGGGTAGAGTTCGAGGACGAAATCTCTTTAAGGATGGTAGATTGTGACGTTTCCGATTTTTGGCAATTTTCATTTTTCTAGAATTTAGTCGCCGAAAGGGCATTTTTGTCCTTTCACATTTTTGCGTACGAGATTTTTAGTTGGGTCAATTTGCATTGTGTGTAATTTAATTTCTATGATTATGTGGTGTTTACTTGGTGGTGCATGTAATTAAATGTGGGTGAGGTAGATAATGAAAGTAAAAGAAAAAGGGAAAAGAAAATAAAATTGGTGGGACCCACCATTAACCACATAAGTGGTCTAGAAACCCATTTTGGCTTCCTCATTTTCTCTCTCTCGTAACCCTCCCTTTTTCTCTTCTCTTCTTCATTTTTTTTTCTTTTCCATTTTGTTACCAAACTTTGAGTTTGGATTCCTCTCTCATTACTTAGAGATTTTGGATACCGTTTTAGGCAAATCGGAGAGCATGGCGAGCTCTACGCTTGAGTACAATCAAATTCATATTTGGTGCCTCCTAGGGATTTCGAAATTCTTGACCCATTTCTAGGGTTTTGCTCATTTTGAGGTAGGGGCTTCCTAATTCACATTATTCATGCACCTTTGTGAGTTATTCTACTTGAATTGTGTTATAACATGCTTATTGGTATTAATTGAAGCCTAAAATGTCTTGATTGTATATAGGTGAATATGTGAAGACTTGTCTTGATTGTGCTATATGAGAAGCATGCTTATATAATGAGTTTTATGCCTATTGTATTGTTTACATGCTATGAATGGTGTATGAAAGCATGCCCTATTGTATTTTGTGATACTCCATTATTGTCTAAATATTAAAAGTATGAGAACATGCTTACTTGTGTTGTGTCAAATTCCTCATTTTCATAGTATTGTGATCATGAGATATGCATGTACACCATTGGGTTGCATAAAGGGAAGAAATTGTTTTTGAAATGAAAATGGGGAGTTTTGGGAAAGAATATTTTGATGAAAGTGTTCTGGAAAACCCGGTCGCTGCGGAGTCACCAACGGGCCGGTCGGTTAATGTAACCTAGAGGGAACTAGGGAGATTGCCCCAGCGTGGTGGAGCTATCTGGGCCCCATAATGACGCTGCGGAGTCACCAAAGGTCAGGGACAGTAGCCAATCTTTCTCTCGGCCCTGCGGAGTCACCAAAGGGGGTTACATTAATAGTTTGAAAGCGATGATTCTAATTGTGAAAATGGGGAGCGACATCAGCATGCATTGCATCTCCATTGAATCTTATTATTTGTGTTGAGAATGATAACCATATTGTATTTTTCCTATGTTGAATTGAGGATGATAACCATGTTGTATTTTTCCTATGTTGAATGATCCCAACTCCTATTGGCCTATTCTTTGTTTTGGATTCACGGGGTCTTATGAGGTGCGTCTTAGGCGCCACCCACTGAGCAAATTGCTCACCCCACTATATTATTATATTTTTCAGGTCATGGCAAGAAAATGGCGAATGAGAATCCTCCGAAAGCTTGAAAGTTGTTAGAAGATGATTTTTTGCTATTTTGTATTTGACCATTACATGTATAATCATAGTTTTTGGAGAATGTAAATAAGTTTGCAATTATGGCTATTGGAAAATGTAATTAAGTATTACTCACTCAAAATTAGTTTTGTGTATTTTAAGTAACGTGTTATAAATTACGTTATCAACGAGGTGGTTGTTATTACAATTTGATGTTGAAGTATATCTTAATTTATGTACATAAGTGTAATGACGTGGGTGGTTGAGCATCAAGTGTTTGGTTTTTCTTTGGACAGTGGCAACCGAGTCTGGATAACCCAAACCAGTCGACGTGTGTCATCCCGTCGACCGGTATCCTGACAGACAGTAAGCATTTTGAACGTGAATGACCCAAACCAGTCGACGTATGGCTCCCCATACGTCGACCGATATCTTACAGTGTATACGTCGACCGGTATCTTGGCAGTGGGTTTTTCCACTGTTCATACCCAAACCAGTCGACGTATGGTGTGGAGACGTCGACCGGTTTATGCCACTCAAGTAGTATGTATTTAATTTCCCAAATTACACTTTCGCACCCACTTGAAGTTGTAAATAATTATTTTATGACCCACTAAAATGCCATAATTATATTTTAACCCCCGAAAGGACTATATTGCCCCGAACCTTATTTTATTTACTATGTGATATAAGTTAATAACCGTTGTACCCTTGAGTCTCAATTTATTGAATTGTGATAAATTACCATTTTGCCCTTTTCGGGCTTGATATTTAAATTTAATGTGAAGAGACCGTTTTACCCTCGGAAGATTTTGGGTTGGGTAAGGACCCGTTTAATAATCCGGATCTATAAGGATTTGGGTCATTACATACCAATTGTTAGCTTTACTTGTTAGCAACCCTATAACTATGCAATCTTGACCATATTTATTCTTTTGTAGTCATAACTGAGGCTTGAGGAATTTTTGAGTTCAACTTTGGATCTTAAAATTTCAAGGCTCCAATTTTTAAAGTAAATTTAGCAGATGTTGAGTCCATGTTTATTGGGTGCTGATATTATGTTTTAGCTACAGTATGCTTTCTGTTATCACAGATTTCACAGTCGTGCTTTGAAATTGATGAATGACTTTATATTGAAATTCTGGAGAGAGTACTGGAAAGCATCAGCGTCTTCCAAAATGTGGTTGAGATGATTTTTTGTATGCCTTGATTCTTGACTCGTGTGTGGGCCACCTTCTTGGAAATTCAATTGGTCCCATGGACAAATCTTTGCCCCTATGTCTTAATTTTGTCCAATAGTATCATGACTTCTGTTCAGAAGAATATATAAGGCAAACTTTTATTCCCTTAAGGCTCTGTTTGGTTGTGGAGTTTGAGTGATTTTGCTGTTGGAGCATTAAAATCATCACAGATTTCCTTTTCAATTCCTCTTGTATTGTCTACTCACAAGCCAAATAGCGCATTTATTTTTTAGTCGGATTGCCACTCTTAGATTGCATGGGACTGATCTCCCTATAATTTCTCGTCCCTTTTTGTTTCTTTAGCTCACTTATTTCATATTGCAGTTGAATTTAGATTTAATCCAATTTCAAATATCTTCACCTTCCAAACTTACTGTTAATGATGTCTAAAATCTGTGTTCTGGCGACTTTCTGGATTGAGCACAGCCCACTTCAGAAACAAAACGTGGTAGTTTCATTTTTACGGATGTTCAAATGTACGATATCTATATAGTATAAGTTAATTTAGATTGCCTTGAAATGACCCAGACTTGCGAAACTTTAAAGTATCTTAATTTCTCGACGTGCTCTTGAAAGTTTGAAACAATCTTACAAAAAATTTATGATACAGCTTTATGGTTGTCTGGATGTTTATATGTCACTTCAAATTCATATTTTAAAGAAGTAATTGGAATTGAAAGTCTTTTATCCAAGTGGGCAAAAAGTTCGGATACTTGTTTAAGTTCCATGGCCTTTAGAATGAAGAGCAAATTTGACAAGTATTGTTGGAGCATTGAAAAAATGGACATAATGTTGTTGGTTGCTCTTGTGTTGGATCCTCGTTTCAAAATGAAGTATGTGAAGTTTTGCTCTGGTAAACTTTATCCTCCTCACAAGGTAGATGAGCTAACACATAGGGTAAAAGAGGCTATGAGTCGTGTTTTTGCTGAGTACCAATTGTATGACTCACTTAATTCATCTTTGGCCAGCTTGACTCAAAAATCAAATGGAATGGCGGTTGATCAACCACTTGGAGAAGCACGTGAGCAAGAACACTTTCTTGACTCTATGTTTGAAAAGTACTTGGAAGAAGAAACGATATGGATTGCAAATCTGAGGTGGATATATATTTGGAGGAATCCTGTGAGAAGTGTGTCCCAAGTTTTGAAATATTGAGTTGGTGGAAATTGAATTGCTCCAGGTATAGAGTGTTAGCTCAAGTTGCTAAAGATTTTTTTGGCTATTCCTGTGTCTACAGTTTCCTCTGAATCCGCTTTTAGCACTAGAGGTCGTGTTCTTGATCAATTCCGTAGTTCTCTAAAGCCCAAACTTGTGGAGTGCTTGATATGTGCACAAGATTGGTTACGGGCTTCACCACTTCCAATCGAAGTTGAAGAAACTATGCAAGAAATTGAAGAATACGAATCAGGTAATTATCAATTGTTAGCTTTTTACTTGTTAGCAACCGTATAACTATGCAATCTTGACCATATTTATTCTTTTGTAGTCATAACTGAGGCTTGAGGAATTTTTGAGTTCGAGTTTGGATCTTAAACTTTCAAGGCTCCAATTTTTAAAGTAAGTAAATTTAGCAGATGTTGAGTCCATGTTTATTGGGTGCTGATATTATGTTTTAGCTACAGTATGCTTTCTGTTATCACAGATTTCACAGTCGTGCTTTGAAATTGATGAATGACTTTATATTGAAATTCTGGAGAGAGTACTGGAAAGCATCAGCGTCTTCCAAAATGTGGTTGAGATGATTTTTTGTTTATCACTACAGATCAGACCCCATTCTGGGTGTGCCTTAATTCTTGACTTGTGTGTGGGCCACCTTCTTGGAAATTCAATTGGTCCCATGGACAAATCTTTGCCCCTATGTCTTAATTTTGTCCAATAGTATCATGACTTCTGTTCAGCAGAATATATAAGGCAAACTTTTATTCCCTTAAAGCTCTGTTTGGTTGTGGAGTCTGAGTGATTTAGCTGTTGGAGCATTAAAATCGTCACAGATTTCCTTTTCAATTCCTCTTGTATTGTCTACTCACAAGCCAAATAGCGCATTTATTTTTTAGTCGGATTGCCACTCTTAGATTGCATGGGACTGATCTCCCTATAATTTCTCATCCCTTTTTGTTTCTTTAGCTCACTTCTTTCATATTGCAGTTGAATTTAGATTTAATCCAATTTCAAATATCTTCACCTTCCAAACTTACTGTTAATGATGTCTAAAATCTGTGTTCTGGCGACTTTCTGGATTGAGCACAGCCCACTTCAGAAACAAAACGTGGTAGTTTCATTTTTATGGATGTTCAAATGTACGATATCTATATACTTTAAGTTAATTTAGATTGCCTTGAAATGACACAGACTTGCGAAACTTTAAAGTATCTTAATTTCTCGACGTGCTCTTGATAGTTTGAAACAATCCGCATATATAGATGATTAGGTATTTTGTGATACTTTCCGAGGTTTAGTCAACAATTTTTTAAGTGATTAGGCATTGGGCCATCTTTTACCATTACAATTCGTTCAGTTGAGTATATATAATATGAAAAATTAAAAGAGAGAAAATTGAGTTGTTCTGGTCAGATACTTATTGTTTGATGAGAATCATTTTCACTTATGTTAACTTGGAAGTGGAATTTTTGGTGGTGCAATATTTTAGTTGTTAGCATCCAATCTCGCCTTGTAAAATTATATGTATCCATGGGTAACACAATGCCTTAATCACTACTTTAAAAATAAGTAGTTCTGCATGATGGACTAAACATGTGAAGCAGACATCATAATAATTGAAAGTTTCTAGCAGTTTTGTATAAAAAAAGTAGGGACTGTTTTATCCTTATCTCGCATGATAACACTTTCAGGTTCCTGTTGTGATGTGTGGGGAGATTGGTTGCTTTCCCGGGCTTTACTGTTCAAGGTAATAGAATATAATGGAGTTCTCTTGAATCAATTTTTTTGGCTATTATGTATTGCTGCATTGCTGAAATTTTTTTTGAGCATCTATGCGGGCTTTACTAGTTTGTGTAATTATTTAATTTACTATGTCGTTTCCTTGACTGTTTTAGGTAGTAGAAGTGGTAGTGTTATTTATTGTCAAGAAAGTTTAGTTATTTTATGTAATGAATTAGTTTCATGGTTTGACATTATTCTTGTGGAAGTGGTAGTAACAATGCATGGTGGGTTATTTTATTAAAGTTCTTGTTTGTATGCTGGCCCATTTTTTATTGGGCTTTTTCCAAGTCCAAACTGCCAAACCTATCCGATCCACCCGAATCATGTGCACCTCTAGGTATTTCCCATACTTCTGTTCAAATTCAAGGATAATAGGTTTACACACTCTTCAGGAATTGGGTTGCTTAGATTATTTGCTGCCAAGTTAAGACGTACCAAGTCTGATAGCTCGCCAATTTTTGGAGGAATGTTGCTTGTAGGTCTTATGTTGCTTAAGGCAACCTTGATCAATGAGGTTAATTAACCTTCTTAAACTCTTTAGTTGAGTTGCATTTCCCAATTCTGGTTTTATCTCACCATTAATATTGTTGTTGGACACTCATATTATCACTCAAATCGATATAATCTAAGTTTGGATATGTGGCAAAATAAAATATCTTGAAATATTTTCAGAAAGTCAGTTTTGTTAAAGCCTAACTTTGTATAAGCTAGTTCATCATTTCAAACTCTCTGGGATTGGACCTGTGAGATTGTTGCTAGATGCAGTGAAATACGCAAGTGATCCACTGAGAAAGCTCATTGTCACCTAATTGCAACTCTTTCAAATGGGTAATATTATTCAAGTCTGTAGGTATAGAGCCAGTGAATTTATTCACAAACACGACTAGATACTCAAGGAATTTCAGCCTTTCTACTTCTCGGGGGATGGAGCCAGATATTTGATTTTAGAAACAAATTCAAGTTGAAGAGCTTGGTCAAGTTACCAATAGTGGATGGAATGGATCTGGAGAGAGTGGGTCTGTTTGGTTCAGTTTTCTAATAGAGTATTAGAAGGGGTATAATGTTAGACTAAATAGGATAGTGAAACTCTCTCTGCCCAATATTCTACACTTTGTAACATTCCAAGTTTGTTATCCAAAGAACGACAACAAACATATTAAAATTTCAACAACACACTTAGTTAATCCCCATATTGTCTTCTTCCGATTATGAAAACAGGCAAGTATGTTACTGAATAAGAGGAGCTTAAATTGGTCTTATGATGTGCAATATAATGCAAAGATAAATGTGAACAACCATCTACTCCAAAAGCTTAAGCTGTTAGAGAGGATATAACTTTTATATTTATATCATTTAACAATAAACATGACAATAAAAACTAAAAATATGCAAAAATGGTCATGACTGATGAAGATCCAATATCAAATAGTTGTCCTATTGTAATCATGTAGAATGGATTACGCATAGTTGGCCTTTGTTTTGATAGCTCTGTGGAGACTTTTCCCATTGTTGGCTGCGATTGCGGACTGACATGCAAGCATGCTAAAGCTAGCTTGGCAATAAAGACCAATTCCTCAGCCACTTGTTCTGTTGGAGATGAAAGACGTTGATCCAACACATCCTTCAAGAATGTATCTCGGACAAGCAATGTCGGTGGTGGCGGTGGTGGTGATGCTGATGATGATGAGGCTGATGATGATGGCGATGATAGAGAGGAGATGAACTCGCCTAGATGCTTTCCCATGATCACTTCCAGCACCAGCACTCCAAAGCTATAAACGTCGCATTTCTCATTCACTTCCATTGTGTAAGCAAGCTCTGCAAAGCAATGAATAAATGATAGAGAAATAAAGAGAAATCTGCCAATGCTATTTTTTTTCTTCTAACAATCATTATTTAATCTGCACAACTATTGAACACAAAAAAGTGTGGATGAAGTGAAGATTGAGGATCAAGAGGACAAAAAATTAAACATTTTTATTATTTAGGCTCAATTATGTGTTTTGAAGGAGAAATTGAAGATAATGTTAGTCATAGAGTGTGACGGAAACACGAACTTTGAGATGGATATGCTGTAAGACCAGAAAGGATAAAATTAGAGATAAAATGAGAGGTCGGCTAAGATTGTTTGGACATGTGCACAAAAGGCCATTTAAGTATGTCAGTTAAGAATGGTGCATGACATGATCCATATTGAGGGTAATGCTAGCGGAATGGGAAGACAAAAGTTAATGTACATAAAATTAGGCAAAAATGATATAATAACATGTGGTTTGGCTGAATGTATGGCGTTACCTAGAGCGGAATGAAAAAATGTGATTCATGTAGCTGACCCCAATTAGTAGTTGGCACAAAGGCTATCTTTGTTGTTGTTTTAACTTTTGGTCACAAATTCATGATTGTACATCTAACAAGTGATAGAAGTCCCCCAAGATTACGACATCGAGAAACTATATGGTACATTTTTATGGGATGAAGTTCAAAAAAACCCTTTGTAGTTTGAAAAGTATGCAAATAACACCCCTGTCGTATGAAAAGTGAGCAAACAAGGGCTTATTGTCAATTAAAAAAGTGAGATACGCAAAAGTAAGAAAATGCCCCTCAAGATTCTCTTTACAAAAATAATAAAAGATAAGTAGAAATTGAAATTACTTAAAAGGGCTTACACAAAATTAAAGAGTAAAATCAAATGAAATATAATGTAAAAAATCAATAAATAATAATAAAATATAATGTAAAATATATATATCTTTAAATCAAATAAATAATTGTTACTATTATCTTTATCTAAAAAATCAAATGAAATATAATGTAATATATATGCAATTGGAGGAGAAATGAATGAGGGACAATTTGGGAATTCCAAAAAGGCAGTGTTGGTATTAAAGAACCTTTTTTGGTCACATGACCCGCACATGTCACTTTTTGGGGTCAGAAGTCATTGTTTGCTCACTTTTTCATACTACATGGGTCGGATTTAAACATAAAAGATGTTATTTGCACAATTTTTAAACTACAGGGGTTTTTTTTTTTTTTTCCACTTCACCCTATTTTTATGCCAAGACTAAATTTCAGATATAAAGATATGAAGATTATACACATCTAATGTATAACCTTAGTTCATTCAATCGGTTTTTAAAATGAATCGTTTCAACAAAAGATTAAAATATAAAAAATACCCAGAGCACTGTACCCAAAGGTCCCCATAAATGAAGTCCTATTAGAAGAGTTAGGATTTAGAAGCCTAGCAATGCCAAACTTAGAGACGTGAGCCACATATTTAGAATCTAACAAAACATTCTTGCTTGATATGTCCCGATGACTATAGGAGGCGAACAATCATGATGCATATAACACAAAGCATCTGCCACATCTTTAACCACATTCACTCTCTTAATCCATCTGTAATGTTTATGATTTTTGACATTTTTCATTTTTTTTTCATTTTTTTATTTTACGAGGGTATTTTAGTCTTTTCTCATTTTGCATGCCGGATACCGTGGAGTGTGCCGGGTGTGTCAGAGTGTTCATTGGGATATTTCCTTGGGTTCAGGGCTCGTGGAAATGCAATGGTCGCCATTTCAGTATTTTTCCGTTTTTCGGGCCGAGAAGTCCCACGTGGGACCCGTTGTCGGAGTCATTGAGTACGGGGATTTTATTTTGGGTCCATTGCATCTCATGCATTTTTTATTTAATGCATTTCTATATGGATACATGTTTAATATGTGGTTGTTAATTGGTTGGTGTTTATATATATCTATATGCTATAATTTAAATGTTATATTTAGTGGCCATTGAGACCCACCACTATCCTAGCTTTTAACTAATGACCAAGGGTCATTAGATGACCATTGTATCAGCATTCTCACGCCATTCCTCTCTGCCAGTATAAGTTTCTGTTTTTATTTATTTTATTTTCTTCACGATTTCTAGCCTTGATCTAGCCACTTTCTTTGAGAATTTGGTATTGCCGCTTAAGGCAAAGTTGGAGAGCTCGTCGAGGCCGTCGTTTTGATAGGAGCCAATCTCCGTTTGGCCACCAATTGGGAATTCGAATTGGGCTGTTTTGGGGCTGATTTGGGGTTTCATTGAGGCTTTGTTTGGGTTGTTCTTCTTGTGAGGTAGGGGTCTCCCTAATGTGTTAAGTTTTGCCTTTGTATTTGAGCAATTTCTATTTACTTATGTTATATTTCTAAAATTTTAAATCTTGATATGAGATTGTGGATTATGAATGTTTTATGTGTTAAAGCATGATATTGTGTACATACTTATATGTTGTGCATGCTTGTGGATGATTCTTGTTCATATATTAGACTTGAGATAATTATGTCCTTGTGGTTTTAAACTTCCAATGTATGCCATAATCTTAGTTGATAATATAAATGCTATAATGATGTTGTTCTTGATACAATAATGATGGAATTGAAATTATAAGGATGTAAATCATTACATAGCATATCATGGCATAAAGAAGGGGTTCGGAGAAGAGGTGAAAGGGAAAATTTTGATTCTTCTAAAGAGTAAAGCTTTTTAAAGTTTTTTTTTTTTTTAAAAAAAAAAAAAAAAAGATGCAAAGGTTTTTATTTATTTATTTATTTTTATTTTATTTTAAATGAACCGGATTTCGCGAGTCCGGGACTAACTTGACTTAGAGGGAGCGCGGCCAGTGTAGGGCGTGAAAAAGTTAATACTAGGCCCTTTAACGGTTGCCGGATTTGGAACCGGGGATAGTTATTAATCTCACCTCGGTAAAGTCAGTTAGCGGATTTTTTTTTAAAAAAGTGTGGGTTGGGTTGGTATAGATCAGATTTGGGACGGTACATCATATTTCATATTATACACATCAATTGTGGAATTGTGTTAAGTATTAAGATTGTTGCCTATTGAGTTGAAAATGTTGTATGGGCCCATTGTATGACCCCGATTCCTTTTCTATTCCTTTAAATGTTATGTGGCTCAAGGGAGTCCAAAACTGACACCTTAGGCGACTTCTACTGAGCTTTATGCTCACCCCATTATTTTTTAACATTTTTTAGGACACGGGAAAGAAGTGGCGGATGACGTTCCACCACAGGCCTAGTTTGGATAGAAGATTATTTTGCTATTTTTGTATCTATGTCCCATTATTTTTGTAAAACCTTAGTTTGTTATATTCAGTATAGAGACTTATGAACTCTTGTTATTGTAATTTTGCTTCATGGACTGTAAGTTGATGTAATTGGAGTAAAATTCTAGTATGTGAGCATGGGATTATGTATAAGACAGGTATTTCTATGTTCTGGATGAATGGGATGATGATGATGAACTCTTTTAAGGATGGTGTTGATGTTGTAGATTTTAGATTAAGGTTTATTATGTACATCTTGTGTTGGAGTATGTTAGTTCAGTTTTGAAGGCCCAAGTGAGGCCATTGCATTTCATATGCATTAAGCAGGTTGTAGAAGGACTTTTTTTTGCAGAGGTCATGCCGATTTTTTGGGTCGTTAAACCATCCACACTCCTCGATGGCTTGTTCTTTAGTACTGCTCAGGATCTTTTGCAAACTTCCCCCTTCAAAGAACTCGTAAACAAAAAATAAGTGTTATGGGTGTGAACAAAAACCATAAAGCTTCCCAATATTCGGATGCCATATTTCTCTCAATGTTCAGATTTCACTTGTAAAACTATTTTGATCATTAGTGTTATGAAAGAAAAGGATCGAATAGGATTTTATGAGAACAAAGGGAAAAATAATGACAAGAAATTAAAATGGCACATACAAACGAGATAAGGATTTATGTGGTTCGGCTATGCCTACATCCACGGGGAAAAGACAGAACAATATTTCACTATGGAAATAAAGAGATACAAGGCAAAATGGCTCACACCCAAAACCCAATTACACCCAAACTCTCTCACCCACTAACTGATATTACAAACTCACTCAATTGATTTGGGATGCTTCAACACTATGGAGGGCAAGACTATTTATAGCCAAAATGGGACACCAAAATGAGGCTACTTGGTGACCACTCAAAAGACTTACTAGGCACACATTCTTGGAGGCCAAGAATAAAGCTTGATGAACACATATACTTGGAGGCCAAGAAGATGATGTCATGGGTGATGCAAGCCTCAAATTAAGCCACATGTTCAATAAATCTCCACCTTGATGAAAATTCAAATGAGCCACTGTATCTCTACAAAACAAACTATCTTCTCCACAAAACAAATTAATTAAGAATTTTAGTTAAGTTTGAGTCATCCTCAAACTTAACCCTCGGGCTCTCATTCTTCAACCCATGCATGTCTTGCGTAGCCACAAACATACCTCCAGTATTTCTGTCAAACTCTAAATGCTTATCAAAGACACCCTCAAAAATTCCAAGTTTGACATCTCCTTCAGTAACCTTCTCCAACCGCCCACGAACCACCGGCTGGTAATGAAAAGTCATCGTCTCACCCTCGTGGAGAATTGGACGTCCTTGACTTTTCCTCGCATCTTTATTGTGACCAACTACTTGCCTTCCACACATCTTAATGGCACTCGAATGGACTATCTCATTGCCACCAAGATTATTGCAAGTCAATATCACACCTGTCCTCATGGGTCTGCCTCCCTGTAAGCACTGCTGCAATTTTGGTTGCCATCTGAAAATAGATTTCATTCTCCCATCATGTTGTGTAATCCCCTCACAACCCTTTTGAGAACTAGGATTGTAACTCCTCTTTCGAACTCTTCTTTTGCCAAGACCTAAACGCAGATTTCTGCTAGCTGTAGAAGACCCTGTAGAAGCTCCACCTGTTATTATATTCCCTTGGAAAAGATACAAAATTTTCACCTTGGTGCTCTATAACACTATAAGATAATCCATCACGACCATCATTGCTCCACCCTCTGTTACAACCTTGTAACCTTTGGAGTCTAGCACACCACTGAAATAAGATTCATCTTCAGATCCGGTATATGTCGCACATCTGACAATGTTCTCACCAACCCATTGTGCGTCTTGATCTTGATTGTTCCAATTTCCAAAATTTTGAAAGCTTTCCTATCTGCCGTCAAAATCGAACCACCTCTCACCTCTTTATAGGAAGATAAAGAATTCCTACTGGGACACATATGAACAAAGCAACCAGAATCAAGAATCCAACTGTCATTAAATGACATGCCTGAACACGAGGTTGTCATGAGAACATATTCATCACTTTCCGAATCACTCGTTGTATCAATTGCCACAAAAGCTGTTTCTTGAACCTTTTCTTTGCCATTCCCATTCTTTGCCTTTAGTTTGGGACAGTGCTTGATGATGTGCCCTATCTCATGACATTAGTAACATTCCACATTTTTATGAGATCTAGATTTGCCCCTACTAGCAGAACCCTTTGTCCCACCTTTGCCTCTTACAAATAGACCCTCGGCCTGCTCATCTCCAATATTCTCAGACACCTTTTTCCTCAACTCCTGAGAGTTCAATGAGGATTCAACATCCTCCATACTAATAATGTCTTTTCCATAGAGTAATGTGGTAACAAAATGCTCACATAAAGGAGGCAAAGAACACAACAAAATAAGGGCTTGATCCTCGTCATCAATTTTAATATCAGTATTTTTCAAATCCATAATAATAGAATTGAAATTAACAATATGCTCCTTAAGAGACATACCTTCCTTCATACGAAGGGTGTAGAGTCTCTGTTTCAGGTAAAGTCTATTGGTGAGAGACTTCGTCATATACAGTCTCTCTAATTTCAGCCACAATTTTGCCGCCATGTCTTCATCAATAACTTTGCGCAACACCTCATCAACTAGATTCAAAATAATCGCACTGCGCGCCTTTTCATCGACCTCATTCTTATCTTCATTGTTGGCAACTTGTCCTTCCCGAACAATACCTTCTTTAGACCTTGTTGAGTCAGCAGGGCCTGCATCTTAATGCGCCAAAAACTGAAGCTAATCTTGCCATCAAATTCTCAATCTCGTATCTGGTCGACATCTAAAAAAACTCCCCAAAATATTTCTCGTTGAATAGTACCGTATTTGTGAACAGTACCCGAATAGTATATGTGAATAGTACCATGCGTGTGAACAGTATCTGTACACGATATACACGAACCCGAGCTTTGATACCAGTTTGTTATGAAAAAAAAAGGATCGAATAGGATTTTATAAGAATAAAGAGAAAAATAATGATAAGAAATTAAAATGGCACGCACAAACGAGATAAGGATTTATGTGGTTCGGCTATGCCTACATCCACGGGGAGAAGACAGAACAATTTTTCACTATGGAAATAAAGAGATATAAGGCAAAGTGGCTCACACCCAAAACCCAATTACACCCAAATTCTCTCACCCACTAACTGATATTACAAACTCACTCAATTGATTTGGGATGCTTCAACACTATGGAGGGCAAGGCTATTTATAGCCAAAATGGGACACCAAAATGAGGCTACTTGGTGACCACTTAAAAGACTTGCTAGGCACACATTCTTGGAGGCCAAGAATAAAGCTTGATGAACACATATACTTGGAGGCCAAGAAGATGATGTCATGGGTGATGTAAGCCTCAAATTGAGCCACATGTTCGACAATTAGCCTGTCTGCCATCTACTGTAGCATGAAGTTTCTTCAAAGCAACAACTTGACCACTCGACAACTGAGCTTTAAAAACACTTGCTGATCCTCCTCCCCCAATGCAATAATCAGAGATGAAGTCCTTTGTTGCTTTAATGATGTTCTCATACACCATTTTTCCATCATAACTCTAAATTTCAAACAAATTCTCATTGTTTACTCTTCTGAGCTCATTTTCTATGCTACCCACTTTTGGGTAAAGAATATAGAAAATCTTAACAATCATAAATGAAAGAAGCAAAATGCCTAAAAGAGGAACTATAATCAAAATCACAAATTTGTTACCATTCTCCCCCTTATTAGCTTCATTGTTCGTTGTGGGGGTGCAAGCCTTCAAACCAGTGGCATTGCTGCACAAACCTTTATTATTTCTGAATGCATTAAATGGAGCATCTTGAAAGGCTTTATTTTTCGGAAGTGGACCCTTCAATTGCTCGTATGACACATCAACAAAATTCAAACTTGACGTACCATCAAAAGTGAATGGGATGGAACCAGAGAGTTTATTGTTGGAGAGATTCATTGCTTCTAAGTTTCTAATTGTCCAACCTGGTGTGGTATTTCCCCTTTTAATAAATTGTGGCTGACATCAAGATATTCAAGAGAGTGTAAATTGCCTATGAGAAAAGGAATATCTTTAACAAGATTAATTATTTATGCTCAAATTTAACTATAATAGTTTCACGCACTCTCCTAATTGTTCAGGAATAGAGCCTCATAGATTATTTGCTGCCAAGTTCAGACGTGTTAAGTCTGATAGCTCACCAATTTCTAAAGGAATGTTTCCTGAAAGTCTATTGTTGCTTAAATCGAGGTCTATCAACGAGGTTAACCTTCCTAAACTCTTTGGAATTTCCCCGATGAGATGGTTTGAAGAGCTGTCAAGCACACGAAGGTGAGTTGCATTTCCCAATTCAGGTGGTATCTCACCAGAAATATTGTTGTTAGACACTCTTAGGCTTGTTAGATTGTGGCACTAGCCCCATTTACCAGAAAGCTCACCATACATTTTATTATCACTCAAATCGATATAATCCAAGTTTAGATATATGTCGAAATCTTTTGATAAATTTCCATAAAGTTGATTTTTTTCAAGCCAAACTCTGAATAACCAAGTGCAACTTTTCAAGCTCTCAGGGATTGGACCTGTGAGATTGTTTGTAGATGCAGTGAACTGTGTAAGTGATCCACTACGGCATATGTTATGTGGTAAATGACCAGCAAGCTTGTTTACGTCTAAATGCAACCTTCTCAAATGGGGAAGATTACTTAACTCTGTCAGTATAGAGCCAGTGAATTTATTGATGAACATGGTTAGATACAAGAGGGATTTCAGCCTTCCTACTTCTCATGGGATAGAGCCAGATAATTAATTTTTGGAACAAGTAAAGTCAAAGAGCTTGGTCAAGTTCCCAATAGTGGATGGAATGGATCCGGAGAGTTTGTTTTTGTGAAGGTACAATCTGGTTAAGTTACCTAAATTCCCTATGGTGGTAGGAATTGAACCTACTATATTGTTTGTTGACAAGCTTAAATCTACCAGAGAGTTTAGCCTCCCAATTTCTTGAGAGATAGATCCAGAAAGTTTGTTGGCATGAAGGAATAGAACTCTCAAGTTGCTCAATTTCCACATTGTAGCTGGGATTGGACCTGTGAGATTATTTGCCACGAGTGATATCTCATTGAGTGACCTTAGTTTCCCTATCTCATGTGGAATTGCTCCAGAGAGATAATTTACAGACAAGTTAAGCTTGGTGAGATTGGAAATGCTATTGATGTTCTTGGGGATTGTCCCATACAACGAATTGTTATGAATAAATAAGTTGAGAAGATGAGGGAAGCATGAGAATTTAAGATTGTGAAGTGTACCTCTTAAACCAACATTTTCAAGGCTTATTTGGGTGATATTTCCAACCTTGTTGCAACCAATCCCAACCTAATTACAGGGGATGCTATTTCGAGCCCAAGACGACAGAAGAGATTGGCTTTGGTTGTCTAGACTGGCTTTCCACTTTAAAAGGGCCTCTCTTTCCTTTCCTTCTGCCATTTCCTTGGAGCTGCAGAAGAATCACAAGTAGTGAAATGGGAAAGAGAAAGCAACACATGGAAGATGATGGAAACGAACAAAAGTTGAAATTCAGAAGGAAATTGGTGGTGGAACGGCCTATCTACTAGTAATTTCGTTGTGGGTCGGTTTGCTACAATGAACTACAAGAGGGCAATGGTTGGATGATGAAGGGCTCTAGTACTGCATGGAGAAGTATCAATTTATAGAATACATTCATGATACATATTTATTTATATAGAAATGTATCAAAGAAAGATACTACTACTTTGCCTCTTTGTTGGACCGCTGGCGCGAACACAGTTCTCATTATTGTGAAGTTGGAGACTTCCCACTTGTTTTCATTATTGGCTCAAATTCAATGCATTAAATGTGGTGACAATGCACTGATTGAACATTAGCTGAAATTAAATACATTAAATGTGGTGATAATGCAATGAATGAGAAGGAAAAAGGTTGAATGTGATTGTGTGCAGTGAGTGTTTATATATAGGGTCAAAGTGTTGTGTGTGCAGGTGCATAGTGAATGAAGAAAAGAATTAGAGAAGAAATGAGTTGTAGAAGGTTACAGGAGGGCAAGTGCCCCCCCGGGCATACACTGGCTCCGCCCCTGCGTGCTTCCATGATGATAAGTCCAATGTAGCTGAAGAAGCATAAAACCCTGAAACATGAGAGGAGCAGCACCTTTAAGCACATACCAACCTTTACGAGTAAGCAAGCATGACAGGTGAGCAAAATTCTTTCTGTAAATTTAGAAAAAAAAAATCACCATCAGAAACAATCATATATAATATAAGTTCAAATATATATCTACATACACACACACAAACACAAAGAGTTTTTCTCCTTCACTCACTGCTGCTACAATGATAGACTAAACAGACCACTGAAACTCTCTGTGCCCAATATTTTACACTAAATAACACTCTAGAAGTTTCTTAATTGAAGAATGACAACAAACACATTTAACTCTCAACAACACTGAATTTTGCCCTATATTGTGTTCATCAGCAGGTTACGATAATAGCTATGTATGTTATTGAATAAGAGGAACTTAGATTGGTCTTACGATGTGCAATAAAACGCAATGTATCTTACAACAATCTTGGCATCATCCTCACCACACAAGATAAACAGGATAAAGGAATACAACACAGAAACGAAAAAATTGAAAATTTAAAGTGGAAAAAGTAACACAAGAACATAAAAAATTAAAAGATGCAAAAATGCTCAAGAGGCTAAAGATCTAATATCAAGCACTTGTCCTAGTGTAATCTTGTGGAATGGATTTTGCAGAGTTGGCCTTTGTTTCGATAGCTCTGTGGAGACTTCTCTCATTGTTGGCCGAGATTGGGGACTTGCATGCAAGCATGCAAAAGAGAGCTTGGTGATAAAGACTAATCCCTCTGCCATTTTTGCCGTTGGAGATGAAAGACGTTGATCCAACACATCCTTCAAGAGTATATCTTGGACAACCAATGTTGGTGGCGATGATGATGATGATGATGATGATGATGATAGAGAGGAGATGAGCTCGCCTGGATGCTTTCCCATGATCACTTCTACTACCAACATTCCAAAGCTAAAAACATCACATTTCTCATTCACTTCCATTGTATAAGCAAGCTCTGCAAAGCGATGAATAAAGGACAAGAAAAGTAAAGAGAAATTTGACAATATAATTTTTTTTTTCTAACAATCATTGTTCAACATAACTATAGAACACAAAAAGGTGAGGATCAAGAGGTACAAAAAATTGGACATTTTCGCTATTTAGGCTAAATTATCTTTTATGAACGAGAAATTGGAGATGATGTTAATCATATATCAAGGTAGGATGGGTTAAATGAAGAAGTGCATCTAGTATATTGTGTAATTAGTGTATTCCATTAAGATTGAAAGAGGTGTTCCTTAGAACAACAATTGGACCAAAATCATTTAAAATAATGTAATAAACAAAATTACCTGGAGCAGCATACCCAAAGGTCACCGCGAATGAAGTCCAATTGGAAGAGTTAGGATTTAGAAGCCTAGCACTGCCAAAGTCAGAGATGTGAGCCACATATTCAAAATCTAACAAAACATTCTTGCTTGATATGTCCCGATGAACTATAGGAGGTGAACAATCATGATGCATGTAACACAAAGCATCTGCCACATCTTTAACCATATTCACTCTCGTAATCCATCCACACTCCGAGGCCTGTTGGTCACTGCTCAAGATCTTTTGCAAACTTCCCCCTTCCAAGAACTCATAAACCAAAAACGAGTGTCGTGGGTGCAAACAAAAACCATAAAGCCTCACAATATTCCGATGACGTATTTCTGTTAATGTTTGGATTTCACTTGTAAAACCATTTTGATCATTAGCCCGCCCACCATCATCTTCCGGGGCATGAAGTTTCTTCACAGCAACAACTTGACCACTCGGCAACTGAGCTTTATAAACACTTGCTGATCCTCCTACCCCAATGCAATGTTCAGAGCTGAAGTCCTCTGTTGCTTCAATGATGTTTTCATACACTAGTTTTCCATCATAGCTCCATATTGCAAATAAATTCTCATTATTTTCTCTTCTTGGCTCATTTTCTACTCTGCCCACTTTTGGGTAAAGAAGATAGATAATCCCAATAACCATGAATGAAAGAAGCAAAATTGCTAAAAGAGGAACTATAATCAAAATCACAAGCTTGTTGCTCTTCTCCTTCTTATTAGCTTCATTGTTCGTTGTGGGGGCGCAAGCCTTCAAACCAGTGGCATTGCCGCATAAAGCTTTGTTATTACTGAATGCACTTAACAGAGCCTCTTGGAAGGCTTTATTTTTTGGAACAGGACCCTGCAACTGATTGTATGATACATCAACAGAACTTAAGCTTAACATACCCTCAAAAGTCAATGGAATGGATCCAGAAAGCTTATTGTGGGAGAGATTCAATGCTTCTAACTTATCCAATTGTCCAAGTTGGGCTAGTATTTTCCATTTTAGTAAATTGTGGCTGACATCAAGGTTTTCAAGAGAGTGTAAATTGCCTATACCAAAAGGAATACCTTCCGCAAGCATATTTCTGCTCAAATTCAAATACAATAGTTTCACGCACTCTCCTAATAGTTCTGGAATTGAGCCCTTTAGATTATTTGCTGCCAAATTAAGACGTTCCAAGTCTGACAACTCACCAATTTCCAAAGGAATGTTTCCTGAAAGTTTGTTGTTGCTTAAATCAAGGGTTATCAATGAGGTTAACCTTTCTAAACTCTTTGGGATTTTTCCGACGAGATGGTTTGAAGAGATGTCAAGTACACGTAGCTGAGTTCCATTTCCCAATTCAGGCGGTATCTCACCAGAAATATTGTTGTTGGACACTCTTAGGCTTGTAAGATTATGGCACTGGCCCCATTTACCAGAAAGCTCACCGAACAATTTGTTATCACTCATATCGATATAATTTAAGTTTGGATATATGCCAAAATCTTTTGCTATATTTCCAGATAGTTGGTTCCTATTAAGCCTAACTCTGTATAAGCTAGTGCAACTTTTCAAGCTCTTAGGGATTGGACCTGTGAGCTTGTTGCCAAATGCAGTGAAATTTACAAGTGATCCACCATGGCATATGTTATGTGGTAAATGACCAGTTAGCTCGTTCATACTCAACTGCAAGTTTTGCAAATGGGTAAGATTATTTAATTCTATAGGTATAGATCCAGTGAATTTATTTGACCATAAGGATAGATACTCGAGGTATTTCATCCTTCCTATTTCTCGTGGGATAGAGCCAGATAACAGATTTTCGTCCGAAGTCAATTCAAGGAGCTTGGTCAAGTTCCCAATAGTGGATGGAATGGATCCAAAGAGTTGATTTTCGTGAAGGTACAACCAGGTTAAGTTGCGTAAATTCCCTATCGAAGCAGGTATTGAACCTGAGAAGTTGTTCTCGGACAACTTGATATCGACAAGAGACCTCAACATTCCAATTTCTTGAGGGATGGGTCCTGAAAGTTTGTTGGTAATAAGATATAGAGTAGTTAAGTTGACCAAGTTCTTTATCGAAACAGGTATTGAACCTGAAAAGTTGTTCTCGGACAAATCAAGATCGACAAGAGACCTCAACATTCCAATTTCTTGAGGGATGGGTCCTGAAAGTTTGTTGTTATCAAGATACAGAGTGGTTAAGTTGACCAAGTTCTTTATCGAAGTTGGTATTGGACCTAAGAAGTTGTTCTCGGACAATTGGAGATCGACAAGAGACCTCAACATTCCAATTTCTTGAGGGATGGGTCCTGAAAGTTTGTTGGTAAAAAGGTATAGAAGTGTCAAGTTGGTCAAGTTCCACATTGTAGCAGGGATTGGACCTATGAGATTGTTGGTCGCGAGTGACATCTTAGTGAGCGACATCAGTTTCCCTATCTCAGATGGAATTAGTCCGGAGAGAGAATTAAAAGACTAGTCAAGACTAGTGAGCTTGGAAAGGCTAGTGATGTGGTTGGGGATTGTCCCGTAGAGTGAATTAGAAGACAAGTCAAGATCGGTGAGCTTGGAAAGGCTAGTGATGTGGTTGGGGATTGTCCCGTAGAGTGAATTGTCAGAAAGATCAATGCTATGGAGATGGGAAAAGCATGAGAAGTTGAGATAGTGAAGTGTACCTCTTAAGCCAACACTTGGAAGGCGTATGCGGGTGACACTTCCATTACCCTTCTTGCAATGAATCCCAACCCAATTGCAAGGGCTGCTGCTGGTGTTTGGGCTCCAAGAGGAGAGAATTAGAGATTGGGTTTGATTGTGAAGACTGGCTTTCCACTTTAAAAGAGCCTCTCTTTCCTTTTCTCTAATTGGAGCTGCAGAATAAGAAGAAGAAGAATCACAAGCAGTGAAATCGGAAAAAGAAAGCAACACAAGGATGTTGATGGAAATGAACAAAATTTGGAGACTAGAAAGAAATTGATGGTGGAATTGCGGATTTGTTACTAGAAATTTCATTGCGGATTTGTCAATGGTTGGGTTGAGCGTGGAGAGGTAATCAATTTATAGATTGATTGGGCTGACCCACTGTCTGGGAAATATATTTGCTTAGATGGGTTTGCAAAAGTCTCAATTTTGGATCTTTGTTTGTGAAACCTGAGTTCAGTCACTGATCAGTGATCACTGTCATCAAAGGGAAATATCTTTGACACCCACTTGGGCATATATATTTTTCTAATAAATAAGCAATTTTTTTATTTGAGTTTTTCTAATAAAATTAAATTTTACACAATGAAAGAGTTCCTTGCAGGTTGAGAAATGCATGTTTTTACTGTATTTTCACTAAGCGGGGAAACAGAGAGTTGGAAATATTTTAAATAACAAGTAACAAAACCACAATGGAGAAAGAAATGTTAACAGGGGTTTCTTTTGTTCTTTTTACTTGCATAATAAAACATTTAAGAGACCATAAAATCTTAGACTATAGGTCTTCCAATATGGATAATCTCCTTCATCACCAGAGATGTTAATAGGACATAAGTATAACAAGGGGCGGCACAATATAATTTGAGGTCTTAGGCGAAAAATATAAAAGTGACATTTTAATATTCTAATAAATAGTTAATCCAATTAATCTTTCTTGTCACATAATTGATTTTAGAATTATACAACTTATACTTAAATTTAATGAAAAAGAAGGAAAAATATGTAAGAAATAAGAAGGAAAAATAAAAACAAAGAAAATAAAAGTTAAAAGAAGAATATAGGAAGTTTTACAAATATGGGAGAAAAAAAAATGTGATGGTGTGATAAAGATAGAAATTTTTTGGACCCACTATTGAATCTCTTTTGGTCACTGTCTCACCATTGATGTGGACCAATAAAAAATGGATATGTCTTCTTTCATTACCACGTATCTATTTTTTATTGATCCACATCAGCAGTGAAGACGGTGTACATTTTCACTGGTGAAGACCTAAGTATTGTCCATATAAGTAAAAAAAAAAAAAAAAAAAAAAATTGGGGAGGGCCTTTTCATTTGGCAGAGTTTAATAATAGGAAGAAAATAAAAAATTTAAAAAGTTTATAATATAAACAAATAAAAAATTAAAGGTGTAATGTTTGAGTTTTTATATATATATATATCCTTTAGTAAGCCTGAAGTCAAGAGCTATTGGATGGGACATCGCAAAGCCGAAGATTGTCAGTAATTAGTTTTTGGTAGAATGATAGGGTGTGAGCCTGAGTGAAAGTTCATTGTATTTTGTTTTAAATATAGTAGATCGTTTTGTTCTGGACTGCACAGTCCACGAGGTTTTTCCCACAACTATTGGTCACTTCTGTCAAACGGGATTTTCTCGCTAAAAATCCTAGTGTCATCTGTCAAACTTTATTTGTTTTACTTTCTTTTATTTTGCATATGATTGTTTTATTATTTGCAACCAATCCCAACCCAATTGCAAGGGCTGCTGCTGTTTGGAGCGCAGGAAGAGAGAAGAGATTGGGTTTGATTGTTGTTGTGTTATCTCGGTTACATGATGACCACAAATTGAACACAAGACCTCTGTACTCAGTACTCTGTACTTGTGTTAACTCGGCTACAAGATGGCCTACTACTCTCACAACACCCATAAACTCAAGGTAAACAACTACCACCAATATTAAAAGAGCACTGGTATGTGAACAGATACCCGATAAGCAGTGTCTCACATGGGAGTAGGTCCACAATTGACGCTAATATTCGGTGTCTCACCCTTTGACAATCGAAAGCCAGGGTAATTCACATAGAAATGAGGTTCATCATTAACACTTGAAAGTCGGGCGACTCATATAGGAGTGAGGCCTACATTGACTGGCTCACCATCATGGTGGGTCCCACTCTTATTTTTATTTTTTTTTATTTATTTTTGCCCCTTTGCCCCCTCTTATCTGGATTTGGATAGGATGACAACGGAGTAGGTATGGTACGAGTTTGCTTAAATTCGTACCTGTCCCGTTTAATTATGAACAAATTCACAATTGATACCAGTCCCCTTTGCTCGTGACACTTCCAAATAGCAATCGATACCATCAAGGCGTAAGCGGGTGACACTTCCATTATTATTGTTGTTGTTTGTGCTGCTGCTTAGTCCGAGAATAATTAAAAAAAGAAAATTAAATCAGAGAAAAAGGAAGAAAATATAATTTTCTGAGAACGACGTTTATCACTTGGAGAATGTATTACCACCACAAGCTGATTCTTAAGATTAGCACTAGTGATGTTAACAGGAACTGTGTCTATTCACACTCATCTCAGGAAGGGCCTTTCTTTAATTTTCTGAGAATGGTTTTTTATTTTCGGGAATATTGAAAATTGTACAAAATTATGCTCATTTTTTTTTTTTTGAGAAAATTTAATTAAGGCTTCATCTCCTAATTGAACACATTTAAAGCCTCTCTACTTCTAATAAACTCCAATGGCTCGATATTAATTAAAAAAACACTCAAAGATCTTATTGATAAAATCAAATCTTTAATCATGTTCTTGACTGGAGTCTTTGTTCCTTGGGCTTGAGCATTGGTTTTCTCGTGATGATAATGATAATGGCCTTAGAATTTTTTTAGTGGCCATTGCAACAGATTGACCCAGCATAGCGTGCAAGGAACGCACAAAGAGAGCATAATGATTACCTAATATATACAGTACTTAGAAAATGACATGCACTCCGACAATGGGATTATTTATTACGAGTAATATTTTATTAATTATCTCATAAAGTCATAAATATAGGGGTGGGTAAATAATTGGTGAATTTCGATCCGCGGATCGGATCGGATCGAATTGCTACACTTACAGATCGGTGGCAGATTCAAAAAAATCGAATCTGTAGCTCACGGATTGAGCTGTTAAAAATTCGATCTGATTCGTGAGTCCGATCTGTGAAATATATATATATATATATTTTCAAAGAATATATTAGTTAATTTAATTAGTTAATGATAATTTAATGGACTCTAAAGATCTATTACTTAATAATTATTTAAATATATGAATTAATATTCATAAATTAAAATTTTTTATATTAAGTTATGGTTAAAATTTTAAAAAAATATATAAATAATAAATAATATTAATTATAAAAATAATAATAGATAATTTAGATAAAACCCAATCCGCGGATTTAATCCGATCCCATCCGTTATTACATGGATTCAATCAGTAGTGTACGGATTGGATTTGTCTAATCCGTTAGGAGCAGATCGGATTAGGATTGATACCTAATCCGATCCATGGCCAGATTGATAAAATCAATTCTTCAATTATGTTCTTTAATCATGTTTTTATAAATTTGGATTCTCAATTGCCCATAAACTACTTGTTCAAGCCTCATCTTTAGTGAATCTCGAATCGAAGACCTAAACGGAGTATTCGGAAAGGTCTCACCAATTGAGTTAGCTTGTGCAAGCTTTGTCATTGAGACCAATAGACATGTAAACTAACAAATGCTTTATAGTCATGCTATGAACATTGTCTAGGGTATATGCTTTGGTATATGTTTTCATTAAAGCAGTTTTTGAAAAAAAAAAAAAAAAAAAAAAAATTTGTGATTGAGAAGGTGGATGGATTGAACCTTCAAGGATAGAGTGAGTGGGTGGACCGAAGGCTGACTAACACAAGTGGACAGCACCATTTCTAAACCTTCCATTACTTTAGGTCTCCGGATATGGATCATCACTAGTGATGTAGATGTTGAGAGGTGTTATGTAATAATGATAGAATAGAAATTTATGAGAACAAGAGACAAATAATAACAAAAAAATAAATAGGTACACACAAACGAGACAAAAATTTATACGTAGTTCACCCTCATAAATAGGATTACGTCCACAGACGATGATGATTCATATCACTATAAAGAAGAATATTACAAACTGAAGAATGTTTTGATTTTTTCTCACAATAATCTCTTTTCTCACACCACTCACTCACTAACAAAGAAGACTCACTCAACACTCAAGAAATACCCCAAATAATATATTTTTTACACAAAAAGAAAAACCCACCCAAATACGAAATTCAACTCTCTCTTGAAGATTGTACACACAAAAGGATTTTCTCACACACACAAAACCAATATATTCTCTTGATCCGAATATTGTCTTACTCTCGGATGCCTCTCGGATACTTTTTATCGACAGAGTGCAAGGCTATTTATAGCCAAAAATATACTTGGTGTCCAAGTATATTACAAGAATAATTCTTGCTGCCCAAGATTAATTCTTGTTACCCAAGAATTTCAAAGCTTCCTTCGGAAGCTAATTTGGAAGTTTCACTATCACACTTCTTTAACCAAAAGATTTTTAACATGTCATAAATGAATTTTAGACAAATTTCTAACAAGAGGACAAATTATAACACCAGATTTCTCAATCCAAACCTAACAAACTCGTGATAGATTTTATTTTAATATATTTTAGTATGAAATATTATAAATCAAAACTCCACTAACGAAATAAAACAATAACAAAAGTAATTAAAAAAAAAAAAACCAATGAAATAACCAAAACTCCACTAACGAAATAACAATTTATGAATTATATGAATAAATTAAATAGTCAAAACTCAAAAGTCAAAAACTATAAGAATATAACAAATTCAAACTGTCATAATTTTCAATCAACAAGTAGTTAGTGAGCTCATTACATATGCACAATGGTTGGATGGATGATGAAGGGCTCTACTATATTTGGAGAGGTATTTATAGAATAATATTCTTGTAATTCAACTAGTAGAGAATGAAACCGTACGTCACTTTTGCTTAGTTGGGTCCTTGAAAATTTTTCTGACATTCACTTGCGATTTTTTCTAGTGGAGAAGAAATTATCATGGAGGCACACTCACTTGCGAGAAAAATGTTTTTACTGTAGTTGCACTAGTGGGAGGAAATGGAAAGAACTATTATACGAGTTTGTCCACGTATTCTATATATGTATTTATAGAATACATATGTTCTTGATATATACAATATTTATATGGA